CGAGGGATATAAGGTTGGTTGGCCTATGCGGATATCGATGCCTCATCAAATATGAAGGGCCTCAAATACTCATAGGCTTAGGATGGTATGTGATAGGAAGTGAAAACAATATATAGAAACTGATGAGGAGCCTTGAAAGGCAAAATACGCAGGTTTCGTAACTCCCTTCATGTGAACTGTGAAGCTTTGGAACTTGGATAGGTGGTGTGGGATGTGAAGGGACCGCAGATGTTTGGTGACAGGGATTGATAACAACTGATAGGGACTGATGGCTAACCATGCAAGGCGAGAACAGGTATGTAACGCCCTTCATGAACGGCGAAACCTTGGCATTTTGATAGGTGGTGTGGAATGGGAAGGAAGTATTGAAGAATGTTGCCAGGAACAAAAAACATGTGATAAGAGCTGATAAAATGCCATGGAGAGCCACTAGATCTTCAATGCGCTTTCTGTTAATAATGGAATCGTAGAATTTTAATAGGTGATGTAAATGTGACAAGATCGTAGGTACTCGGGGGCGGGAACTCATAACTATTGATACTGGCTGATAATGAGCTGTCTCCGTGCTAACTACGGAACATTGGCGCTTTGGTGATGGGATCGAGGACGGTTGGTACCTGGCCAGGAACTGATGAAACGGATAAGGGCTATCGAGAATCCTCGAAAGGGTAGAGCCACTATAATAATGGCATTAATATGAAGCCTTGACGGTTCGGTATGTAATGTGGGCTATGGTGGGATCGCGTACGGCCGATGATGGGGACTGATAAGAGTTGATAGCGAATGATAAGGGCGCTTACCAACTGAATTCAACGTCTGTGGTATTTACGATGTATTTATGATTACGACTATTAGATTACGACCGCTATCCAGCAAGGTCTGTCACTCAGTGGAAGATCGAGATTACTTTTTGGTTGATATCATTCACGACATAGCTCATCCGGCCGTCAATGATTTGGGATTTACAATTAATGATGTATCCGTGTAGGAAAGAAGGTCCGGTAATAACGGCATCTGATAATAGTGTTACTATCACTTGAGGTCATTTGTGCGTACTACTCAATACTTCGGTTGCCAATCAGTTGAACCTTTAATGGGTCATATTTTTTGAAATAAATAAAAACCGATCGACACTTTTAATCGCAGACGTAAGCATCAACATACCCTAAATACCACTATCGCTGCCGTGCTTATGCCAATATTTGGGTACCTGTTTTTGGGTCCTATGTCAAAATTGTGCATAATGGGTCAATTTTCGTGTTCAGAAAAGCATCACTTGTCATAAAAATGGGTTGGAGGGTTGCCGATCACCGGAACTTACAGAAGGAGAGAAGCCGAAGTTAGCCGGCCGGTCCGAGTGGTAGAATGCTAATTGCATTGCTATTTTTACATGTCGAAACTACGGGATGCCCCACTTCCGAGCATGCTGTTTACAAAAATTCAATGGCCTGAAATCTGCAATACTCACAGTGGGAAACGTATGCTCTAGGACAGCCAGAGCCAGACATCTCGGACGTTATTCACAGCATGGAGTTGTGTCTAATAGGATGACAAGCACCCGCTCATACTGACGCTAGGCCTTAAGACAAACATGGATATTGTACACGCCGAGCAAGCCCGCGAAAATAAACGGAAATAGTGACTGCAATTTCCCGAGAACTGCCTGGCTAGAAAATGGGACTCACGATAAAATAGGGTTCGAATGTCTCTGCAGGTGTTGTTCTTGCCAAGGTTCTTATAAGACGATCTTTTCATGAGTAACACAAAGAACATCAGAAGGTAATCCCTATTAAATGGATAACCGAACGGTCAAAAAGCAGTACCTTGCGTGACTATAGATTCATTTAAAATTAACTTGTTGCTCTCACTCGATAATCACAGATCCGCATTATCACTTCAGGTCATGTATCGGTACGCAGGTTCTACCTCTAATGAGCTCTTCAAATATAAGGCATCCAGTCAATCTGCGAACGTAAGTGTTTCCTCTTTTTATCTGATTTTCTCCTGATTCCTTTTTGCTAGTCCGTCATATAGCATGAACGTAATCATAAACGTCGCTTACGCATCGTATTGGGTATTGAAATGTTCATACTGCAGTGGTGATTATGAGTTCACCAGCTAACGCGCTCATCATGTTAGTCAACCAACCAACTGATCTGGACACGCAGTGCTGCGATTATGTAGTCTAAAGCAGCTCTCGACATAGAAGTCACTTCATGATTGACTCACAGAAGTTTACTCCGTAGGAAGGTAAAAAGAGCTCATTCCATCGCTACTAACAATTGGATGTGCACATCACCTTTATGAGCAGAGTTTCCTAAAGAAAGCCTAGTGACTCTTTATATCTCAAGCAGTGACAGATTGCAAGTATATGTAGCTGTTATCAATAGAACGTTTCCTCCAATGATTCTACTACATATAATTCGCTAAGTGTGTCCTTTGGTTTGTCGGTGTGTTTGTGTGTTTGTTTGTTTGTGTGTGTCGGTGTGTGTGTCTGACCGGAAATTCATAACTCCTGTCCCCATGGACCTAGAGCTCGCAAGTTATGGTGGGTGGCGGGACCGGACTCCGTGCACAGGGGGCGGGTTGTGCGCGATCGAAATTTTGAGCAGCAAGTTCATAACTTCTGCCCAATGGAACTAGAACTTTCAAACTTGGTAGGAATACGGGGAGCAGGATGAGGACACTTATGATGTGTGGCGGGACCGGACTATGTGCACAAGGGGCGATGCGTGAGCAAAAAAGTTGGATCGCAAATTCATAACTCCTGTTTACGTGGACCTAGAGCGTTGAACTTTGGAAGGACTACACTTCTCGTACTAACAGTGGAACATCAGCATATAAGTAAGTGATGTAGGATATGACGGGATCGTAAGTACTCGGTGACAAAAACTGATCATAACTGATAAGAGAAAATCAGGGGCCTACTAACCCTTCTATATTTACGATGTAGCTTTGGCTGTTCAGTATGTTTCATTCGATAAGACGAGTGATAGGGGCACATTATCGGCACTAGGCTAAGCAGATTAGAGCTTTGTTCATTTCTTACTATTAGATTACGACCGCCACCCAGCAAGGTTCGTGATTCGATGAAGGATCCTTTTTGCTTGATATCATTTGCGACAAAACCTGATCGACAGCCAGTAATCCGGAATTTTCAACGAATAGAATCTCCGTAAAGAAAAGGGTTTCTTGATAGATAACATCTGAGAGCAACAGCAATAAATGAAATGAGCTTCCATCTATCCATAATAAAGAAGCTTCAATCGATCCCTATCACTGCGCTTACTACTAACTTTTTGTCGCCCTACTTTACCGTACCTTCCTCTCGAATGGAACATACTGAAGAACCTAAACCACATACCTTTAACACCGAGCTGATTTCTACGTCGGATTTACTTTTCGTTGATGGGTTCTAAGGCCACTTACCAGCTCTTATCATTTTATACCAGTTCGACCCTGTCACATCTCTTATGTCACGTGTCTTTCCACCTACCATAGGCGTTCCATCCTGTCTACAGTGCTCCCACTGAGTTTGAACGTCTAGGTCCACGGGGACAGATGTTATGAATTTCTGTTCAAACTCCGCCTCTTGTGGGCTGGCTCCGGTCCTGTGACCATGGGTAACGGAACTTCTCCAGGTTTGCGGCATTCTTCCTTGCGGCGTGCGGCAAAGTCGCTGCTTACATTACCATACTCACCCCATCTCCCCGCCAATCGATAGCACGCAATAATTTTCGTTGATTGCCCTTCTTCTTTTTATTAGATTTGGTCGTTTTTTCTGCTTCTTTTATGTCTATTAGACTTGATTAGTTAGAATGACTCCTCCTATACTAGCGACGATCAAGACGGCATTGGAAATTAAGAGAGCGGCCAGCCAGTTCAGATAACTAGGGGACTCCCTTCATCACAAATTGTACCCTCCAATCTTCCACCGCAATCCTGCGATGCGCGGGGGGTACGGCGTGCGCGACGCCTTTTCCGGGGAAGAGATTCCAGGCACACCTGCCATGAGTGTTCCCATCCTGCCTCCTGTGCTCCTACCAAATTTGAACGTTTTAGGTCCACGAGGACAGGAGTTTTGAATTTTCGTGCAAACTGACAGACAGATGTACAGACAGACAGACAGACAGATGCGAACGCCTCATATATAGTGAGGATTTACGGGTTGTAACAGTGAATTGTTCTCTAAAAATATGGTAGAACGTTTAAAACTGAGAGCGAGGAGTTTGTTGCTCCTACAGAAAGACCCAAATTAGAACGTTCACCAGGAGAAATAAAATGAACGAAGTTACAGGAAGCGCCGTGTTCACATACCCTTCTAATAGGTCCTATACATGGTCCACAAACGAGTAGATTAAGTACGCAGTACGCAGGGATCAAATGGTTGTCTCAACAAGCTTAACATCAACCTGTAGGTCAGTGTACTCAAAATGATAACACCTGTTAAAGACGCAGAAGAATTGTCAAATAGGAACCGCTTGGAATTTCCAAGAGCATTGAAGGGAACTAGAAAAAGTCATGTGATAGGGTGGAGAGATTGATGAAGAGTAGTCAAAATCGAGCGGATGAGGAACCAAGAAGCAGTGCCGTTGTTAGATTATGCAACCCTTATAATATCGTTACTCCCATGACTCCTCAACTGCACGTGATCTGATTGAGGACCCCTCTATCTCTGATATCAGCGGCAATAAGTGTCATTCGCCTGTTGTCAAAATTGATTTCACTCTAGAATCACTCTAGAAATGCTTCCGCACAGGAGAATCTGAAAATAATAGGTTTGATTCTTCGTGGATGGCTGCTGCGCACGAGGACGACGCCTTCGTAGAGGTTTCACGTGGAAACCAAGCCACTGCCCTTGATTGTTCCCCTTACTGACCTCTTCGTCATGAAAATCCAAATCGTCCTTCTCTGAAGAATAAAGCTCATCAGTATTTAATCAGAGTTCCTTTAATCTGCGCGATTTGCCTATACCAAAATATTTTTTCACTCCTCCGAGGATGAATGAACATTTCGCACCAGTTGCCGCGCTACTGGCGGTATGTGGCTGTAAGCGGTTGATTTTTTCCCAAGGTCATGGTTCTCTTCTTTTCTCATACAACATACATACAACGTATACCTCATGCAAGTATTTTTTAGGCCTTTCAGGCCGACGCTACGAAAAAGTCGGATGTAAGTGGCAGAACACGCCCAGAAAACGCTGACACGTACGTGCTTGTTGATGCTGAAGATGAGAAGGTCAGCACCATCAAAAGAATTCCGACATTATTGAAGTACAACGCGGCTGTGACATCTTTTTTTTGGAAATTTGAATTGTGAAGAGAGCTTAGGAGTTCTCTCAATATTCACAGTACAATCAATGTTTTCGCCATTCACCAAAATCTCGACGTATGTTACAAAATGAACACTCAAATCTCAAGCACAGACAAGACGGTGTAGCTTAGTTGGCGAATTGACTTATTTTATCGCAATTCCAGCATAGCGCTCCGTTTCACTCGCTTTCAAAATCTGAGGAGGATAAAACGCGTAATGGAATACTAACTAATTCTGGAGAGACCAAGGTATGATGACAAGGTCTGTGTCTTAGTATATCCAGCTGCTTGCTAAACGCATTCCAGACACGGCGACGAGCTACAGATCCACGCCCGCTTCGGAAAGAGCTGAAAAAGGTTCTCGTCTTCCCAGTATATGATATTTGCATCCATTGCATCGAACCCAAAGCAACAATCAAATTGGATTGCTCGCTTCTGTGAAATAATGGTCCATGTTAACAAGGAAAGGAGCACTGATGCTGTATAATATGGGTAGCATGCGCATGATTTTACTATGGCATAGTTCACGTGAAAATTGTTTCTGGGATTTCCTTATGATATGAATTCGCGGCACTCCTTATACCATAACTGCGCTGATAAGGTCGAAAAACGTCTTGAATAGGGCAAAATAAGGGGCGGGGACTGTATCGTGCGAATGAAACAGCCCGTCAGAATGGCCATGAAATCTATTTGCCGGGCACCAGTGTTCGCATGGGAACAACTCTGGTGAAATATCAATCGGCTGATTGTTGTAGAGTAAGTTGTTACATTTTTGATTATCCTCTTATCCACTGCTGCTCCTTGTGACTAATATCGCTATTTATTCTGTTAGAGTATGTAGTAGTGTACACTGTGTTTATTAATGATACAGCCACCTATGAATTGCACCAAGACTCACGTTCTAGAGCACTTCAGGAACTCCCTAATATGAAAATTGTGCCCGATTTGAACAATAATTCGTAGAGCAACAAAGAGTCAAGTTCAATCCCAATAACATGGGCAATTCTTCCCTTCGTTTTTCCAGGAAGCATCACGTTGCCTATGTATGGAAATGACACAGCCACCGCATATTTTCCCGTCCCCTTGTTTTCATTTCCACCATACACAACTGCTTCATTGTGTGACGGTGAAGTTTCATTTAATGGGTAGAGTGAAGTCGCTCTTCGCCTTCAAGAAAGGTCAACTGACAGCAACAGAGGAACACTGACTGACGAATCGTGGAGTCGCTCAAGATTCGAGTCGATGGCATGCTTTCGGAAAGACACAAGCGACGATTTTTGGGAGGAGCCTCGAATACGACTAAGTCATGTACGGAGATCAAGTCCTCTTTGAGACTCAATCTCTCAAGGATTACTCCTTGGAGCGAAAAGTCTGAGTCCATCGTTGGCGAAAAACGGCGCTTGCATGACCGAAAAGCATCCACCGCAATATCCGCGTTTGTTTCCCAGAGGTTGCAACCGAACCAGTTGGAGTAAGTTTCTTCCTACGGCTCGTCGTTTCCTCTTCCTTCCCTTGATGTTTCGTTCTACAGGTTGTTTTTCCAATAACAAAAAGTTTAGCTATGATGGCCAACATGGCAACCGCTCTTACTGCACGATCTGAAAAAAGAGAAACTTCATTTATCCAGACGAAACTTCAAAGGAGAAGGAGTCACGGTATGGACGGCAATTTTTTCTCGTAAACGTCTTCGTTTATGGTCTGGTCTGAAGAAGCTCAGTCCTTCCGGCTATGAAGTCGTTATGGACCGCGCTCTTCCTCCTTCGTGGCGTCATAATCGGCAGTAGAGCCCCGCATTCATGCAGGATAATGCCCCGATTCACGTCAGATGGAGGACGGAGACCTGGTTTAGTTGGCACTGAATCGACCTTTCGTCGTGGCTGGCAACAGCCCTAACTTGTATCCAATGAATATCATGTGGGGAATTATGATAAGGAAGATTTATGAGGGAAACAAACAGTTAATTGACAGCCTTTCTTCAGGACACTCGTATTTTTGAGATTATTCGAAGGAGTTGGGGCTCAATTGATTACTGATCACGCAACGTCCTCTCTTTGTTATCATTCAGCTGCTGGATAAATTGATTTGGTTAGTGGCTGTATCACTTGTGAACATAGGCAGAGTGACCTCTTCCGAAAAGTGAAAAAAAAAATTGTTCATGCTATTAAGCACAACTTCCGTATTAAGTCTTTCCCTTCCATATTAAGTCTTGCCCAGTCGAAGTGCCCTGAAACGTGAGTTTTGGTGAGACACCCGTTTCAAGCCACTTGTGTGGTCACCTTCTCCTCCAAACCTTAACTTTGAAACTATTTTAAAGAATCATATCGCTCTGAATACGCCGTTTTTCACGTTTTTTTTTCGTCAACTTCGCGCTCTTCTGTACGGTTGGTTTCACTAATTAATGCAACGAAGATTGTCAGACCTGGGGTAGAACCACATCTTCTCAATCGCAAACGTCCGATTCGGTTTGTCAAGCTTTCGTACAAATCGATGTTCATGGCCAAGTGTGTGTTGACGAGGACCGACGACGCCTCTGCTGTCGATGGTGATGGTTCATACTGGAGTTCAAAATGAGATGGTATTAGTGTTGGTGTCCTACATTTATAGGTTTCACACCCAACTTTTGCATTTTGAAAAGAAGCAATTATTCAGGATTTTTTCTAGCATCATGAACGGATTCCCTAGCACGAATAATCTGGATACCCGTTTTTTAGTAGCAGCTGCATTTTTCTGAACTTTTTTAGACTAGTTTATCCCCTGAGAGCAGAACCCTGAGAAGGTGAGCAATTATTCATAGAGGAGAAATTTTTCTCTCAAGATACTTATAAGGGTAAGCATGTGTAGCAAATGCATCTTTAAACCTCAGTGTTAACATGGCTCATTGTCGTCTGCTTTCATTTGATGAGAAGGCTCAAATTCGGGCTCTTCATGAAGCCTTGCTCAAAAGCGTTCCTCTTCTAGGCAAATAGGGAGATCTCTCTGCTCCTTCCAAACATTTCTGGAGTGCTCTGATGTCCCTAGATCTAACAACAGCTGTGGACACCTACGCAAGGTTACTGCCCGTGACGAGTGGAAGATTCTGAGAGCTGTTTCCAATAGTACGTCCTCTTTGAACCCGATCCGGTGGAACATAAACCTCTCAGCGTCGAAAACTACAATCTGGAGAGCAGTAAGTAAATGCGAGAACATCACTAGGCAAGCAATAAAGAAGGCGCCACGAATCACCGATCGCCATTAAGAGGCTCGACTTGAATTCGTAAAATTGAATCTAGGGAGAGATTGGGCGTGGTAGGTCTGCATCACAATCTCACCATACAGCTAAATAATTTCCAGGTCGTCTTTTCGGATGAAAAGGAATTCAACTCGGACGATTCTTAACGAAACAAGTACTGCTGGCGCGACATGAGGAAGGAACCATTCTACTTCAGCCATCGCAATTTCGGTGGAGGAAGTCTATGGTGTGGGGTGCATTCTGCAATGTGGTGGCGTTGGATCTAGCTTTCGTGAGCTGCACTATGAATTCCAAGGATTATCAGAACGTCTTGTACCATCACATAGTACCCTTCCTAAGCGTCGAAGTCACCTCCACGGTCTTTCAACAAGACAACGCCTCCGTCTACGTGAGCCGCGTAACGAGTGAGTGCCTGCAATGCCAAAATATAAACATTCTGCAATGGCCAGCCTGCAGTCCCGATCTCAATCCGATGGGAAATATCTGGGGGGCATAATAGTCAGACAGGTTTATGCGAATGCGTCAGTCCCAGAGCACAGAAGAGCTGAAGCGGGCGATTATCGAAGCATGGAGAGCAATTGATGAGGAACATCTTCGAAACCTAGCCTCTAGTATACCGCGCAGGTTCTTTGTTGTTGCTCTTAAACAAGGAGGAGCTATAGATTATTAACTGCTGTACATGTGCCATTAACACTAATAAATCATTCACTTTCGCAGGGTGACCTTATAATTATGAAAGGTCAAAAACCGACGCTATCTTAATAAAAATCCATAAAAGATTTGAGGTGAAGGGTGTTGTGACTGGTGTTGAATACGGAGGTACATTATGATGAGGAATCTGCCAGTGTTTGCCAAAAAATTCCATTCTGCTGCTTTCTCCAAATCCGCCGCGAAAGTCGAGGGTGACCTTATATTAGGTTGAGTCATAAGTCCTCGGACAAAGCGATAGTGATGACTTCTAGAGATCATAACTCGGGAAAGAGGTGACGAAAATGGACGAGCAGGCATTATTAGATAGAGTATGAAAAGTTCTTTCAAATACATACTAGTGAGTACACCTGACCATCTCCTGCGCTTGAGCGTGGTTACAGAAATTTTCATGTCGGATCTAAATCCATGTCATACTGCTCCAAAGCACGAGGCACCCATCGACCGAGCTTTCGCACCTTGCCGATTGACTTTAATCCACGAATATTTGTGGATTAAGTCAATCGGCAAGGTGCGAAGGGTGACTGCCAGTTTACGAGTAGTTTGATACGAATCGGCTTCCACACCATTGAGCGTCCCGGACGGTCTTCATTTTCGATGGAATAGTCATCCGACGTGAACTTCATGTGCCACTTTTAAATTGTGCATCTAGCAGGAGCAACCTTCTTGTAAACTTCCTTCATACGTGTATCGATCTACGCGGGTTCTTGGTCAGATAAAAGAAGAAATAGGATGGTGTTGAGGAGGTGGAGTTGCGACGGCGTGGAATCATGGGGCTTGGTTGCAGGGAAGAAAACAGTTAGGTATTTTCGTTACCATGTAGTTGGAAGAGCTTTTCATACTCTAACGATGCCAAGCGCGTCCATTTTCATCTCCTATTTCCCGAGTTATGATCTCTAGAAGTCATCGCTATCATTTTGTCCGAGGACTTATGACTCAACGTGATAATCATGAAACGCTCCGTATAGAAGAGCGCAGGCTAGTTCCCTGGAATCGGTCATAATGGTCATGATCGGTCATAAGAACCGTTACAGAAGTACCCCTTTGAGGTGGACTTGTGTCATTCAAGTACGCCTTATAAAGGACTGTTACATAGAAAAACGGCCTGGGTAGGGTGTAGTGAAGGCTTAGGGACTGTATCGGTTGTATGCCACACCCGAGGCGGACGTGTTTTAACGGCGTTCTAGAGGCCCGTTATTCACAAGGGACACCTATGTTGGAAATTCGATCAGCTAATGGTGACCTATGGCGACATTGAAAGGCAATTTTGGGCTTCTTTGGTATAACTATACAGCTCTTTATGCAGTTGCAATGACTGAATGTCGTCAATGTATCACTTATATTGCATTTATGGTAAATGTCGTGCAACTCCTGAAAACACAACTTTTGACACACAACTGACCCTAATATTTGTGGAATCTGAGGAATTTTTCGTTTTTTTCGCCTCCGATGGTTCTTTCCCAACATTTCCGCTTTTCAACTTGAGAAAGGCAGCTCAGAGTTA